TGGTCTTTCAACGTACCTGACTTTTCAAGCAGTTGATTCTGTACATCTGGACGTAGCATTTTTCTGGGAGAAACGTTTCGTCACTCATCCAAGTGACTTTTTCAGTCTCAGCTGACTGCAGGTTTCCCCAATCTTATAAACAGTACATTTGCATAATGACTGAAACCAGCCCTATTCCAATGTTAAGATCAGCGGGAAGTTGAAGAGTTGATTTACACAGCACTAGTACAAACAGCTTAACATCTCTTCCCTCACTCCCTTCTGGGACACGATAGATCCTCAGGTTGTTTCACCTTAGTCTATTTTGCATGTCCTCGCATCGTGCTGTGAGATCCATTTCTCTATGTAACAAGTACCGGAGAGCTTGTTCATGACGCCTGGTGGAGTCTTAGTTGTCGCCGATCCGCTTCTCCATCTCCATTGTTCTGTTTTCCAGCTTTGTCATATCTTCTCTCAAAATCTTGAAAGATGCCTCCAGTCTCGTCAGAGCTTGCTGTGTTTCCATATGCCCGTCTTTGTTATCTTTTCTTATCTTCTCCAGTTCTGCAAATATCCTCGTATCTGCATCATGAGTGCTAGCAGTAGCATTAGCATCTGCATTCGAGGACAAAGTTAGTTGCTTCAAATGCTCGCCTTTATCTTTATTTTGATCCTGTTTGCTGGATCCCTTGCCTCTCAGGGACGATGCCATGCCGGTTTTAAAAATTGTAGTTAGGAGTAATGTATTAATCTGGATGGAGCTCGTTCCTTATGCTGCTTGACTAGATCATGGCGTCACCGGAACCCAGCTTTAGTTACATTTAAGGGCAATATCCCAAAAATAAACTAAAAAGATTTGATCCTTGTATGTTTCAGATTAAAAGGAAGACAAACTGATGCAGTAAATATTCTTTTACTGGATGAGAAAATTGTGTAATATGATTCACTTAAGATGTTCAAGATATCAGTGCATTAAGCAGACTGTTTGAGTCGGAGGGTCTAACAGGAGAGAGATGATACAGAAACATGACATCTTTATAAAAATACTGACACACTTTATGAATGTACAACTTTTCACAGCTCTTTGAACCTTTTGTTGAAATGAGCTGCATACTTTTTCCACTGAAACCAGCACAATCCCACTGATGAAAACAAAATTTTAACTAAATAAAATTTATCACAGCATGATCACGTCTGTTTTCTTACCACAGTTCATGGGCCAGATGTTTGGTCCCCTTAAATACACTTACTTTAAATAGTGAACTGTCTGCTCAGTTTATCATAAAATGTTTAGTATGGCTTCACACTGCCAATCATACCCAGCTTTGGTAGAAAATTTAACTAACTAACCAAAGCTTGACCCAAGCCACATATGTCTGGACTGAAATAAAGGGCCCACCCAGGAGAGATACACCCTTCAAATCTGGGGAAAAGACGGATGCACTTGTGAGCCGCAACTGGAGCACCCTTCGAATTTGGACAGCCTTCGTCACCTCAGTGTGACATAATCGGCCTACAAATGCAGCCTCCCATGGATGCTGCCTCTGAATGTGGACACATCCATTGTCATTCCCTCTCATTGCTAGATAACGCCAAGCTAGCAAGCTGCATGTGACGAATAAAGAACCTCGAACCTTGATTTGGGGCCATTATCAGGATTTACTGCTCCTTTTAGTACTATTAGCAGCTAATGCTATTTTGAGTCATTCAGCCTTAGCCAATAATGCTTATGCATTTTTCCCCTTGCTTTTCAGCCAGGTGAGCAGCTAATGCTATGTAGACTGCATTGCCCACTCAGGATTTTTGTGACCACAACCTAGTCTGACCAATTCTACATTCATTCATTGCAAAAGCCATAATAAATATCTTCTCTTCGTACTTTTTCTTTTATTTTGTCAAACAACAGAATGAGAATGAAATTTAAGAGTGAATTTAAAAATATCCTGTCACCAGTGTTGGTCAAGTTACTTGAAAAATGTAATCAGTGACTAATTACTGATTATTTCCCCCCAAAACTAATCCAGTTACTTTACTGATGACTTGTTTTCAAAAGTAATTTGTTACTGTGATATTTAGTTACTTTTTAAAAACATGATACGCAACCTGAATAGGTAATAAAGAAATAAATCTTTCAGCCTAATTCTACTTTTTCTGCATAATCCATCATATAAAATGTTATCAAATGAAAAAGTCTCCTTTTAAAACTTGTTTTCTTAGTTTTAATCTTTTAACTTTCTGCATTAAGCACAAATTAAAAAATATACAAAATTATCTGACTGGAAGAAATTTGTTTAACATTTAAACCCATTTTCTGCATATTCCAGCATGTAAAATAAAATAGTTTTCTGTGTTTACACTCACTCTTTCAAATAGATGCAAGTAAATCACAGCAAAAAATAAATAAAATCAAAGACTCAACGGTCCTGTTGCTCTATTTTCACCTGTATAGCAGGAGTGGGGCAGGTGGAGGTTTGCTCTGGTCCAGGTGTGCCACAGTGGTCATGTCAGTGGAAGGATCCGGGGGTTACTCTGTGACTTTCACATTGCCCTGGCAGGGTACTTGGTGCTTGCTCAGAAGTCTTCCCATGCAGTGTGCAGCGGACTGTAATGTTGTTGTCACTTTTTACAGAATCAATCTCAAAGCAAAGTCAGTACTTCCACGCTTTAAACTCTGCATGGCCATACTTTCTCCTTCACTTGATATATTATCCATTGTTGATCTGCACATAGCTGTGGCCACGAACATCACCTGCGCTTACATCATTGTCATGAGACACTCACAAACAAAATCATGATTTAGTAATGCAGTAACAAAGCGTGCTTATGGGAAAGTAGCAGTAATCTAATTACCTTTTTTGCAATAGTAATCCCTTACTTTACTCAGTACTTGAAAAGAGTAATTGGATTACAGTAACGCGTTACTGCCCATCTCTCCCAGACACACAGAGTAACACTTAAAAACGGAGTCATACATTTATTAAGTCTAGGCTGGACTGCTGCAGGAAAACTCATGAAACATCTAACATCTGGTTGCAGTCAGTTGTGTACATCCACAGAGAGCAGCAGGTCAGCCTGTACACTAAGAAAATTTACTGGACCTCTCAATAGAAATTATTGTGAGTTATGATTCTTTTCCCCACACTGAACCATTACATTTAATTTTAGGGTTCCTCACCTGCTTAATCCACTTTAATCCCTGACTGTCCACATTTTCCTGTTTAGAGGCAAAGTCACCCTCTACAATGTAGCAACAGGAAATTGAAATATTTTTTTCTTTCTTTTTCAAGATGAGTACAATTAGAATGATAAATTAGACTAAAGTCTGTATTCCTATCTACTGATATTATATTATTATAGCACAAGGTGCAGTGAGCTTTGAACAAAAATAGGAGGTAGAAACAAGTTACTTTTCACTTTCTTGCTTTGAGTACATTTCAAAGCCTTTACTTTTTTACTGATAGTATTGACAAACAGTCCAGCGTCAGCAAATTTGTATGAGCAGGATTGGAGAGCACAGAGAACAACTGCATCTGTGTCAGGGTTCTGGGTCTGAGCAACCCAGGATCCCTGAGCAGTTATGGACTGGTTATATCTTATGCTATATGTGGAAGGAAACTGTGACCTAGGACAAGCTGATGGCATAACATGTAAGTACAACTCCTCCGGTTTCTAATGCAAAAAAAATTATTGCGCTAGCTCACGTGGTTGCAGAGCTACTGGGATTTAAAAATAGTTACGCAAAACGGAGCGTGCCCGCTGCGACCGGCTTTAAAGGGTTAATAACTTTACTTTGCTTATTGGCCGTGGGGGACTCTTGGACACTCAATTTTTCTAAGATGAGAACATTTAACAGTGTCCCCATTCTGCGAGACATGGTTCCCAGATCTACATGCGTCACTGCTGCTATATATCCTGTACAATTTCCAATGTATTTGGAACAGGACATTAATTTATCATTTGAACTACAGAAAGATTTACCTCACCTTCAAAACCTTCTTGCTTTGTACAATTACAAAATTAGTTATGAAAAATCCTGCTTTGTTTCAACATTTCACAAGTCAAAATCAATAAGTACAAAGCAGAGACTTCTGATCGTCTTACTACTGCTCTTATCTGGTAATGTACAACCTAACCCAGGCCCTGAGCTGCAATGTAGTCAGACACCATCTGAATTTAAATCCTCACCTGGGCTCAAGATAGTTCATCTTAATGTGCGCAGTTTGTTACCCAAGATGGATATGATCAAGATCTGGGTTCAATCAACAGATGCAGATATTGTCCTCATTTCTGAAACTTGGTTGTCTAAATATATATCTGAAGAACATGTTAGCATGGCTGGCTACAATATCTATCGCACTGATAGGCTTAAGAAAGGTGGTGGTGTTGCTGCTTATGTTAAGTCAAAATTTGATGCTACAATAGTTCTATCAGAATCAATTTGCAAACAATTGGAATTTTTGGCTCTGAATGTGAATGTTGCAAAGGGTCTTTGCATAACAGTTGCTTGTTGCTATCGACCCCCTTCTGCCTCCACAGAAGCTCTGTGTTCTTTAAACCTTTTGCTGTCCAGACTAAATTATGGTAAGCTTGTTCTAGCTGGTGACTTTAACTGGGATTGGCCCAAAAATGTTTCAGATGATTTTAAATCTTTTTGTGATCCTATCAATCTTACCCAGCTGGTCAATTTACCCACTCGGCCGAATCTCAAAAGCCCCGAAAAGTCTACCTTGATTGACTTAATTTTGACAAATGTTCCTCATAAATTTTCATCTTTGGGTGTCTTTTGTAACGACTTAAGTGACCACTGTATTGTTGCTGCTATTAGAAATACTAAAATGGCCAAGTCACAACATCGTATTATTTTTAAAAGAACTCTTAAACATTTTAATGAACAAGCATTTTATCATGATTTGTCAAACTATGACTGGAAGAAAATAGGATTGATCCCTGATGTAGAATTAGCATGGGCATTCTTTAGGGATGAGTTTATGCAAATTGTGAATAAACATGATCCATTAAGAAGATATAGGATAAAAGGTCGTGAAAACCCCTGGTTCTCCCCAGAGCTGGCAGATATCATTCATGAGCGAAACCTGGCTTGGGCCAAAGCGAGGAAAACAGGCTACCCCAGTGATTGGCTTCTTTTCAGACAACTAAGAAACAAATGTACTTCCTCTATTAAGAAAGCTAAAACAGAATATTATCTGTCTGTCACCACTGAGAACCTAAATAATCCACAGAAGTTCTGGAAAATCATTAAGTCTCTTTCAGTGAGTAAAAGCTCCCACGCTCTACCCACCTA